ATAACAAGGCCTCCGCCTTCTTCTGGCTACCCACCCTATACGCCACCTCCTTCAGGTGGAGGTGGAGGGCCCCCCGGAGGAGGCGTACCCGGAATTAGCCCGCCTCCGGCTGCTACTTGTCCGATAAACGCACTGAAACTCGGTCTCTGCCTTGATGTTCTTGGTGGTTTAGTGCATGTTGGGATAGGGGATCCAGTGGAAAACATATGCTGCCCAGTTATTCAAGGATTATTGGAACTAGAAGCAGCAATTTGTCTGTGCACAACCATAAGACTTAAACTTCTTAACCTTAACATATTCATTCCTCTTGCACTTCAAGTTCTTGCGACCTGTGGTCTTACCCCTCCTCCTGGTTTTGTATGTCCACCTCTCTAAATATAATCATCCGTGCCCAGCAAACAACAAAAGAGAAAAATAAATGAAAATTTGTGGTTTCTATTATGATTTAACTTGAGGGTTTATGTCTTTTAATCTGTTGTAAGTAGTGTTCTCTGGGTAGAGTTTCAGTGGAGAACATGCATGGCTGCGTACAACTCAATAATTATGTTGATTTTGTGTAACTGATGTTCAGCTTATCAATTCTGTATTGCATGGGAATATTGCCTCTTTCATTGATATGTTGATGTGCAATATAAAATATAGCCAAGATAAAAATCAGATTTTTAGTAAATTTAGATAAAAATTGATGGGATATGTGGTTGAAAAGTGGTGAATTTCATAAAAAAATTGTGATTAAAATTCATTGTTTACTTTGACTTGAATTTTAATTCACTTTTTAGCTGAACCAAACATGGGCATATTACTCTATGACTATGCTATAACTGTACAGAAGTAAGATAGATGGAAGCTTTAAAGAAGTAATATGGAAAGTGATGGAAGATTTTAAGCACTGTTCCCTTGTTTGGAACAGATTCTTTTTCCTAAGCTCATTTCAATATCACATTCTCCCAATAAAATAATTTTGCAAATAAACTAATTGAGCTATTTAGTTGTTGACTGCAAAAGATATGCCCAGCTTTGTCACAGATATTGCATTTACCGGATGACTTGAAAATGTTTTACAGGATGTGTGGGGGGACTTCCATCGATAGTTTGTAATTTATATGGATGAGGACATCAGACATGGGCATTAAAACTTCTTTTGCATATTTTTTCATATTGGTCTTTGAAGCAAGTCAAAAATAAAATTTCATCTTATGAGAGGGGTGTCCCTTGTGATGTAGAGGTTGCTTCTACCTATAGCAAGTAATTCAAGGTTCGAAGGTCTTAAAAAGAAATAGGGTTTGCTTATATGACTGTTGAAACTTCTTTGTCATTTTTCGTATTACTTTTCAGAAGCAATTCCTTCATAAACTTTCTGCTTTCATAGAATAGAACTGATACTTTCGAGAAAAACTGTGAAATATGGTACCTACCCAGAGACATGGAAGACGACAAATCGTTCACTTTTTAAGAAATTGATTTTAAAACTTGTTTTTATCGATCTTTAGTTATAAAAAACAGTGAAGAAACCTTCTAAACTATCTTGAGTTGTCATCTTAGTTTCGGGTTTCATTTTCTTTATAGTGATTTTAGCGGAAACGAAAGTGAAGTCAAGAAACAAGTTTCTAAATTAAAAACAAACAGAAGACATAAAAAAAACATAAACCATGTTCTTATTAAGATATTCCATCTTTCAAAGATTATATGAAATATGCACTATAATACATCAATGGGCAAAGACATAAATTCAAGTGGAAACCCGTCCAGGCTTCTATGCAAGACTTGTAAACGAGGAATAAGAGGTGTCACTAATTAACTTTCTTCCCAAATTCACATCATCATAATATTTCTTAAATCAAAATGTACCATCAACTTCAAATCACTTAAAGCATGAAAAAGATTTATCTAATATCCATAAAAATTCTTGAAACCACAAAGCACTTTTAAGTAAAATTAAGAACGTTTAAGCAAGAGTCCTTGAAGCTAGTTTATGAAGATAGAATCTAGATTTTGTAGGAGATTTTACACCGATAATGTGCATATTATATTCATCAAGAACATGCCGTTAATATGCGTCAAATCGAAATATCATTCGACTTACCGAAATCTGATTTGAGAAGACAAATTAGTGAATTACGACTTCAAATATATGAAT